AATCAAGTATCCTGGAGGCCGGAGTCCGCAGTTTTAAGTCTACTGGTATGCTTCCGGATTAGCTAGAGAGGAAGTAAAGAGAAAGAGAAAAGGGAAACCAGAAAACAAGCAAAGTAAGGAACCGAAAAGATGAATGAAAGGAAAGGAGGAGGAAGCGTAACAGTGAGAGTGAACTGAGGGGAAAAACCTTTTTGGCCTGTTTCATCCCACAGGCTGAGTCCAGAGATCTTTTTGAAAAGGCCAGTTGTTGAAGGAAACCGATGGCGTCTCGACTGCATACTAAAACGCAAAGCGGTAAGAAGGACGTTTTTCTTAGTTTTTATAGCAAAAGTAAAGCTGTCGTGTCAATTTCTCCATATTGATATAATACAAAGTATTTTTCCCTAAATTTAAGGTTGTGTCCTGATTCATTGTTTCCCTGCTCTCCTCCACAGCAACAAGGAGTTCGAATCTTTGTGATGCTCTACAAGGAGGTGGAGTTAGCTCTGGGCATTAACTCAGGATACAGCAAGAGAACACTGCTGCGCCTCCACCCCAACATCAAGGCAAGTACACAAGTGTAAAGGCCTTCTGCAGGTTCATAATGGCTGAAACGTTGCATTTCTTCTCTAAATTTTGGGATATTTTGTTCACCAGGTGATGCGCCACCCAGACCACGTCTCCTCCGCTGTGTACCTGTGGGCGCATCATGAGAAGATCATCGTCATTGATCAGTCGGTGGCCTTTGTGGGTGGGATTGACCTTGCTTATGGACGTTGGGATGACAGGGAACACCGGCTCACCGATGTTGGGAGTGTGACGCTCTCTCACTTGGAGCAGGTCACTTCTTCAATTTAGTGTCACTTTGTGCAAGAATCAAAACATTTTATAGACCTATTTTCCCATCATCACTCTCCACAGATACTTATCTCGTTTCTTTCAAATAGACTAAAGGATTTAATGCTCTGCTCACATTGAGAAAACCCTGCACAGAAACATACCCAGACAGGTGTTTAGAACCCTCATCCCATGTTCTGGGTGCTAATTAACCTGCTTATAACCAAGGGTGTTCCCCAGGGAACCATTCTAGGGCCTCTCAAATTAATAACAGTCTTAGCCACAATATCACAAATTCCTACTCCAACTTTTATGTTTCTGATAGAGTGATCTGCTGCTCAAAGTCTTCTTCTAACCAAGCTTTCTATCAACTGGATAACTTTTTAAAAACTTTTCTTAGTAAAAAATATTAAAAACCCAAAAAGAACAGAGGGAAAATGATCTAAAAATGAACCCAATAGTCATAATTAATATAAATTAACTGAATTAACTGGATCATACTTACATTAAAGAAAGCAGCACAAGAGTGATAATACATCTGTTTTATTACTGTTTATTAGGCTGCAGCTGCCTCTCCCAGCATGGCTGCCCAAGCCAACGGCAGTGGTACGTTTTCCCAGAGCAACGGAAAAGGCGTATTCACTGTGGCAGACTCGATGGACCAGCCAAGGCTAAAGAGTCACGGGAGGTTGAGGAGGACCAGGATGAGCATCAGAAGACACCTGCAGAAACACGGGCTGGCCCATCCCGATAGCGACAGTGACCTGGAGCACGAAGAGTGTGAGTTTTGCAAAAGTGCATGCACAGCACAGCAGATGCACAGAACACGCTTAGGTCAGGGTGCATGGGTGTACTTTCACTTTAAAAAAACAAAAACTGCTTAGTCGACTTTATGTGCAGAGTGTGTGTCTCTGCAAAAATAAAAGATTTTTGCTCACCGGCGCTTAAATTATGTTGTGTTTTCATCCTTGCCTTCAGTATTTTCACAAGGTTTTGATGAAACAGATGCAATTTGTTTAGGTTAGCTTAGGCATGGTAAGACAGACTGTGAGCCACATCGGACTCTATCGGCTAATGATATTGGTCTCTGCTGCCTCCATGTCTCCATCACATGCTGCTCTTTTTAAATAGTAGTTTCATAGGATGATCTAAAGTGGCTCTTTTGATGTTGGAGGTTGCCGACACATAGGTTAGGTAAACAGTACTGTGTGTTACTGGTGTACGATTCATGCCATATTGGGAATGACAGTGCTATGGAAGATGATAGGTGACAGAGTGAGGTAATCATCAATAATCAAATCATCTGCTTTGCCCCCATAAAACTTTGCAAAGATTAATGAAATAGAAAACAGGAATTAAAGACAAATGAATCTAAAACTATTAGTTTAGGTTGTTTTTTGTCTTTCTATGTTAATCTCTTTTAAATACATTTCATCTTAAAATGTAAATTTTTACTAGGTTTATTTATTCCTTGCTTTTATTTTATTTATTTTTTTATTTCGTTTCTTTCTATTACTTTAATAAAAACATTTATTATTATCTGTTTATCTTTATTAAATCAATACATGCGTTCTTTCTTGTTAGCTATTTCTTTACTCTCTTTTTGTTAAATTAAAACATTTCTTCCATTGTTTTCATCATATTTGATGGTGGCGTTCGTGCTGATGCTTTCTTATCTGCCTTGGTCTCGTCAGTCTCTCGTATTATGTGGCCGTCAGAACTGCATGAAGAACAGCTGAAATGAACCTGTAATTAATGAGGTGTTATTAATTAACATGAACTCAAATGCTCCTGCTCAGAGGGAAGAAGGTGATTTGATGTGTGTTTTCATGGGCGCTGCGTTTAGGTTGGTCTGACAGCATCAGCAGCCATCAGGCTCTGATCCCCGGCAGGCTGTCAGAGCCGAGGGTGGCCATACCGCTCGGCCTGTGCCAGGCTGGTGAGTTGGAGGCAGGGTGGCTGCTAGATCGCCTGTTTTGCAGTGTGCTTTGCTGTGGTTTCAGCTTGACTGAGATTTGATTCTGTTTGTCAAAGGTCAATCTAAGCTTCTATTTTTTTATTCAACTTTAATTAAGACACGACATTTAATCAAAAGAATAAATGTTATACAAGGAAAACAATTAGTAGAAATTTTAGTGTGCCAATGCAGTCGCTACTGTATGAGTTATCACTAACAAGCAAGCATTAACAGACCTGATTTAATGCTTCCACCTAATGGGCCTCTATGTGAACCATAAGTCCCGTCACAGTGGGATAGCCAGGTTTTGATTCATAATTTGGGCATGTAGAGAAAAAGGTCTGGCCATGAATGGGAAACCTACAGATGGCAACTCAGAATCGAAGAATTCACCTCAGGAATTTAGAGTCAAAGCAAAATTCAGTGTTTCATGAAACTTAAACTGCCACTAGGAAAACAATATGTTGAGGATAACAAAACACTGATTCAGTCATCCAAACCAGCTTCTACGATAATATATACCTGAGAGCCTCCAGTGTATCCTGGCTTTTCAGTCTTTGAAATTATTTTCTCTTTATTTTAATGAGTTTTGGACACTTTTGTTCTATTGATTTTCTAAACAAAACTAAAATCTCACTCAAAAGTCACAGTTTAATGTTCCCGATCGACTGACTGAGAGAGACTTGGAGCTTTTTATTGTCACTGTGCAGTTTCTTGCACAGCGAAATTGGGTAGCTGGACTACAAAGGTGCAAAAGTTAAAAAAAAAAAAAAAGAAAAGAAGAGAAAACAATATACAACGAGGGAAAAATAAAAAGCAATATGTATGTGTACATGTATACATATATGTGAGTGAACTATATACATGGTGTATGCATTAGAGACATTGAAACTGAAACATTGTGGGGCTGTATACAAGGGCACGTAATAACACGTTTTGACCAAACGACCAAAGGTTCTCAGTGCTGTTATCTAGTCCATTGCACCTGCACACGCAGTGAGCTGAGAACATAAATACATTCATAAACGTCAAAAAAAGCTAAGAAATGGGGGAGTAAGGGGGAAAAAACGCACACACAGGGTGAAAACGTGTATTTGTGAGTTTAATGATAAGGAATCAACCAGCCTTCTCTTAAATAACTCACAGCTCAGTCTGATTGTGGCCTGTTTCAGATTTTCCCTTTAATGATATACCACAGCCTGTAATCACTTTCACTCCATTTATTTATTTTTTTAAACAAACACGTTTCTGAGCGTGTTTCGTTCCTGCAGTAAAACAGCTGCTGCAGGCTTTGTGTTTTTAGCTGCAGGAGGCATTTTGTTTGTTTGCCACGTTCATCTACGTTAATCCTGCTGATGTCATATCACAGGGAACGTGATGCAAATTAAACAATAAGGGCAGAAAAATCACCCCTGCTGTTGCTTCTTCTCTTTGTTTGCACATCTGATACAGTTGACCGTATTAATATGTTTTTAAAATGAGCCTCCAGCCTGGCGGGTAGGTGAAGTGATTGTAGTGCAAACAGGGTGAGTGGAGTTCAGTCTGCTTGCAGCCTCTCTGCCCTGTCCTCCTTCCAGCTGCTGTTTCATGTCTTTAAAATGGCTGTTGAAACATTTTCAACACCCATATATCACTGACAGAGTCTCCATGGCTCTCTAAGATAAGCTGCACTGTAAAATTGAATTAGTTCCCAGAACTTAAAAAGACTATGCAAACTCATTGCCTCAAAACACAAAGTGAAGTTTACTTAAGATAACGTTCATTGCAGGTATACAGTGCTAAGAATAGCCAGGTGTTTCTGGCACAATACTAAATGTTTACCCTCTGATAATCATTTCAAGTTCTACTAAATTAAAAAATAATTTGTGCTAACTTACTTAAAAAAAATCACACTATTTTTTTACAATCCTTGAAATTTCTAGTGCAGCATTTATATTAATATAACACTGAATACAAGTATCATTCAAAAAGAACTCATTTGCTTTCTTAAACATTTTTTTCCTGCATTTGCTGTAGAACAGACCTCAAAGTAGACAATCTCAGGCTCCCTCCCCACCGGAGAGGCGACATTCAATGTCCCACCTGTCAGTCTGGATAGCCCTGACCACCACCCAACACACATTAATGTCAGGAAATCATATTTTTAAAAAGAGCTATGTACAAGAACTTTTCATTGTGATTATTTGTATAATAATTTGGACACAAAGCAAATTTAACTGTTCAAAAACTTGCAGACTTCATTATATATTGTGCAGACAGCGTGGACCCTCTAAACCAGGGCTGGGTAACTCCAGGCCTCGAGGGCCGGTGTCCTGCAGGTTTTAGATCTCACCCAGAGTCAACACACCTGAATCCAGTGATTAGTTCATTATCAGGCCTCTGGTGTAGACACCTCTGCTCCAAACTAAGTTTGTGCGATATGATTTTTCAAGAAATGCAGATTAAGCTGTCGTTGTTTGTATTTACTTACACAGGATGTCTTGTGGAATTAACTCATCAGCGACCGCATAGTGCAGTCATAACGCAACTCTAATATCAGAAGGCAGGAAACGATCAATAAAGAAACAAGTTCCCCAAAGCAAAGAACAAATGAAACAAGAAGTAAAACAGGTTGATCTGCAGTATAATTACAGTTGCAGTTATTAGCAATTGTCACTGACAATTACTAATATATTGGAAAACCAAAATACTTCCCACTCAGGTTATGTCTCTCTGTCCAGCAGCTGCTTTTCTAGACTCAGTTTGATAAGTAAGAGTTTGATGTAATGTGTGCTGTGCTGGTCCTGAGCCTCAAAGACTGTAAGAAGCAAGCAGAGGGAGAAAAACCATTTAGAAGCTGATTTGATCCTTAATAGCTGTGCAGACCCCATACAACCACATTAGACTAACACATTTAGTATTAAAACATCTATTGCTGTGTCTGAATGTGTGATGTTGGCACTGCCAGTTTAGGCCTAAAGAGATATGTGTGTTAAATTAGGTGGTTTTATTTTTTAATGTAATGATTACATGCTTGTTAAAAGAGTCCATGTCCAACTTGTGGGATCTTTATCCCACATAAAAATGTATAAAACGACTTCAGGTGACTGTTGTCTAAGGAGCTTGGAAAGAACTGTTGTTGTTAATTGGCGCTACATAAACAACATTTAATAATTTAATAAAAAGCCAAAGCTCATGTAAAGGTATTAAACCTATTTTTAAATGGCAGGCTTTTTTTTTTGTTTGATTGTATGAAAGTGTACTTTTCATTTGATCTATGACCTCAGTAAACACTTTCCAGATCAGTTTATGGCCTCTATTGATCCACGGCCACTATTAAAATATGGTCCTTATTTGTATCACTTTGGACAATAAATCTCACGTACCGTGCTGACTCCATCCATCTCTGATATACAGTTTAACTGTGGTGTGTGCTTGGATGTGTATTTTTGTCAGCAGCAGTATCTTTGAAAATCCCACCATGAAAATGGTGCGTTGTTTAAACAGCACAGGTGCAACATCAGGAAAACTGAAATGCTCAAAGAACAGACCGTTGTTATCATTGTATATTGACCATATAATGGTTTCAAATAAGTATAATAAGAACTGGTCAAAAATGAACTCCCCAGGTTGGGTGAACTCACTGAAATAGCTTTTATAAGAATAGTTCATTGTCTTCTTTTGATGATAGATAATTGATCAATATCAATTGTTTTTTAGCCTCTGACCCAGTGCAAAATGAGCCTGCGGGGGTCGGAGAGTTGCATGGGAACACGCGATTCTGGCACGGGAAAGACTACTGCAACTTTGTGCACAAGGACTGGATTCAGCTAGATAAGCCTTTCGATGGTAAGCACATCATTGATGGTCTCACTCTTGATGCAGGATGCTTTTCTTTAGGTCTGAACTTCCTGTTTCTGCTTCTTTAGATTTCATAGACAGGCACAAAACTCCCAGAATGCCTTGGCATGACATCGCCTCAGTGGTTCATGGGAAAGCAGCTCGGGATGTGGCCAGACACTTCATCCAGCGGTGGAATTTCACTAAGGTTGGGGGTCATGCTGCTGCTGCTGCTTCAGTCTGAATAAAAATGACAGAACTGGGAAAGTTGTGATCAAAAATTATGTGATCCCTGGTTGAACTGACTTGCACTAAACAAAGTCTGCTTGATTTTCATGACTGTAGAAGAAAAAGTTGATGAGATCTCTTTTCTGTTGCATTACCAGCTTGTGAAGCCAAAGTACCGCTCCCTGTCATACCCATATCTGCTGCCCAAGTCTCACACCACTGCTGGAGAACAGCGATACCAAGTCCCCAACTGCATCCCCACCAAAGTACAGGTTAGTAGAGGTACTAACCCCCAAGTAGGCTATTTTGGGGTTGTTGTTATTTTTGCTGGCTTAGCTAATAGTCATCTGGTGTCAGTTATGTGCCTTAATCTTCGGTGAATTAATTAGTTTTACATTAATTGTAAAAAGCTGAAGCTACAAACATTGGTTTATATACTGTAATATACATTATTATGTAGTTTGTTGTGTCCGGATCAGCCGGTTTCTCACTTTTCAGACAGGAGCTTTATAATTATTAGGCCAGAACTTTGCCACTTGAACTGACGTGGCGTCCCCCAGAGCTCTGCCTTAGGTCCAATTATGTTTCTATTCAAGTCAATTCAGTTTTATGTATATAGCGCCAAATCACAACAGCAGTCGCCTCAAGGCGCTTCATATTGTACAGTAGATCGTACAATTGTACACGATTCCTTTTGCACACACATCCTTTCAGTTCCATGAAGATAATATTCAGTGATTCATATCAAATAACCTTCGTAGAGTTTGACTGCATTGTCTTGTGGTCAGTTTAGGATCACATCAGTTGTGAATAAGATCTTTATTGTCCTTGCTTGGGGTTCTTCCCCAACTCAGAGGTAGAAATCCACTGTTTTCTGGCAGAGAACCAAGACCTCGTACTTGGAAACTGTACAAGGTCAGACTTGGAGGTGCTGACTCTCATTCCAGCTGCTTCACGTTCAACTGCAAAATACCTGCTGAAGATCACACTGAAATCAAACCAACAAAACGTCACCTGAGATACAGTTCAGAGGTTCCCAAAACATAAAAGAGGAATGTTAAAAATGTTATAAATTTTCTACATAGTTATTTGTTTGTAATTTATTTGCTAACCCACATCAGGTTATTCAGCATGGAAAAATTGAGCAGAATAAAATCAAAATATGGGAATAAATGGGAATGCAACTAGCTGATAACCAAATATAGAAACATGTTCACAAGGAACAGTTTCCAACTTTTTTGTAAAAGCTGAAATAAACATAAAAAGGTAATAAATCTTGTCTGTGAAGTTTCCTCTGAGTGACAGGAAACAGAGTCCTGTGACTTATTCCCATCGCTAATCTGTGTTCCCTCAGATCCTGCGCTCAGCTTCAGATTGGTCTGCTGGCATCAAATACCATGAAGAGTCCATCCACAATGCCTACGTCCACGTCATCAAGAACAGCCAGCACTTCATCTACATAGAGGTTTTCATTTTTACACATATAACACCTTCCTGTAGTAGAAGTATAACAACAAAAGTAGAAATTGTTTCTAAACGCTGCAACGTAGAAAGATACCAACTTGATTTTTAAAGCTTCAGCCTTATTTTGGCTTCATGTTCTTGCAGAATCAGGTCTGCGTATGCAGCATGAAGCTTTGATATCCATAGGAGCACTTCGCTTTTCTTCACTGTGCAGAAAATATTTATGACCTTTGTACAGGATATAAGAATGTTTCTGTTTTTATCTCCCAGAATCAGTTCTTCATCAGCTGTGCCGACAACAAATATGTTTTCAACCAGATAGGAGACGCGATTGCAGAGCGCATCATTCGTGCGTACAGGTAAAACACAGATGCACACGCACACAGCGTAACGCTGAAAGAAGACACAGTTTGTCGATGTTTGTGTGGCTGCTGTGTGTTTAGAGTAAAAACACTCCGATGGACTCGACACTCGCTCTGGTTTATTGTGACATTATTTCCTAGAAACACAGTGTTTGTGTTGCTCTGTGTACCTTCCACATGTTTAACAGATGAACTCGGTCTGACACAGTCGAAGAGCTCGTTGGATACTTTCCTTTTGGTTCTCCTCTCTGTGATGTTTTGCTGGCGGGAAGTTTATTCTATCCTGCAGAAACACAAACCTGCCCCGACGTCTCTGTGGCTTCAGTTTATAAACAGTCCAGGATGGGTTTTTGATGAACCTTCCAGCTTTAGTGGATGCATACGCAGGAAAACATGTGTAGCATAATTAATGCATAATTCATTTAAAGATCTTTAAAATGGCCACACTCTGAAGTTCAAATTCTTAATCAAATCTTTTTATTTACACTAAACCAAATTTGGTTTTTTTTACCCGCATAGATACGTTTTTATCTGAGTTTATGCTTCACATCCGTTTTTGCACCAACTTCCTGGGCTCAAAGTCAAAGTTGTGCACAAGAACAATGTCCATTCTGGAAAATTCACGGACTGCTTGTTGTTGTACAGTTATTTAGAGGATTGTTTTGATTTTATAGTCATGTTTAGAAGGACTGAAGTACCTCTTCCTCCTCTCAAGTTACTGAGCTCGTTAAAATAGCCTTTAATGAGTGAAGCGCGAATATAACCCTCTACCAAGCTATTGGATATTTCGGATGTTCTGGTCCTGGAGGCACTGATCTTTGTTTGATGGCATCTTGGATAAGGTTGCCAAACGGATGGACAGTTGATGGATGTTTAATCACCACCTGAAGTGTCAAGCCTGGTAGCGAACTCTGCAGTTGAGGGAAAAGCTGCCAATCATTGGATGTCACCAAATAAAGACAAACGAGTCTAAAATATTGTGAAAAGCCTCATAAATACACTGAAATGTTGTGATTTTCTATGTGTGATTTTAGGGAGGGTAAAACGTATCGCGTTTATGTGGTGACGCCGCTGTTGCCGGGATTTGAAGGAGACATCAACACTGGAGGCGGCAGCGCCATCCAGGCTGTCATGCACTTCAACTACAGGTGTGTGTGTGTTTGTAAGTAACAAAGAATGAGCCATGTTAAACCACTGCCACACCTTACCTTGTAACACACACACCTGTTAGATCTGCCGTGTGTGTGTGGGTGCTGTGTGCCTTCACTCCGTTCCTTTTTTTGTTGAAGCATTTTTTTCTCGCCCACATTCTTGAGTAAACAGGCAGCGCTTCCTGTTCAAACATGCTGACACACACAGAGCTTTGTGTTGTGTGGAATGTGGACTTGCTGCTAATCCTCCTCTGTCTCTCTGTCCCTGCAGGACCATGAACAGAGGAGACCACTCCATCATTTCCCAGCTCAAGAAAGAGAGTAAGTCAGCACTAACTGCAACACCCTGATGGTTACAGGGTGTCACGTAGCCGCTCTGGTTGGGACTATGAGCTCTCTTTGCACTGTATGCACTGTATTTTCCATCATTGTGTCACAGCCTTTAACATATGTAGGGTTAAGTTAATAAATTAGTTCTGAAAAAAGCAGTTTATTTACAGTCAGCTGAATCTTAGATAGACTTTTAATCTCAAATCCTGTTTATCGTGTATATTTGTGCAGTAATGCCTAAAGCTTGGTTTATACTTCTGCGGGAAATCTACGTCCTAACTTGTGTAGTAACCAGAAACTCCTTTTATCCCTAAAATGAAACCATCCATGCCATTCAAGTCATTGCAGCGCAGTGTTAAAATGGGATTCCAGTTACAGTGTAGATTGTTACAGTTACAGTAACTTCAGCAATGTTTTCCTGTAAATTGTAGTTGTAGCAATGAAGCTCTTACCTGAGTCGGTTTGAACATTTTATTCGTAGTTCCCTCGCTCACTTCGGTTTCATTTGTATATCACCAACTCACACTTTTATATTGTAAGATAAATAATCGATAGTATTAGCCAGAGAAGCGCATCAGTCAGTTCCTTATGAGCAAACACTAGGTGACGGTGTGGATTTTCTGCTCTTTCTATACAATTTCAATGATCAAAACCCCCAAACTGCTAAAATAATGATGTGATTGTAACTGTGTGGCGTTTGCTTGCAGTGGGAGATAACTGGATAAACTACATCTCCATCGCTGGTCTGAGGACTCACACTGATCTGGAGGGGAAGCTCGTCACTGAGCTCATCTATGTCCACAGCAAGATGCTCATCGCGGACGACAACACCGTCGTCATCGGTGAGCAGCTTCAACTGAGTATAGGAATTAAATTCCACCCTGAACATGTATAATAGAGAAGCGAGAAATGAGAGCTGCAGAGTGAGACGTGTCAGAAGATTTTAGATGTTTTTAAAATGGTTCAAAACAAAGTCACGACTCAGTTTCCACAAGATAAGACCGTTTTCAAAGATGGAGAGAGATGAAATCAAACACCTGTTTCTGATGAGAGTTTGTCTTTTGTGCAGATTAGTGGAAGATGCTGTTCTTTACAGGAAGCTGATGATCTATTCGGTTTATAAGTTCATTTAAAGACGCGTGCTTCCACAACTCTGGTTTTATTTGGAAATTGCTATAAGAGTTTTAATAATTTAATTCAGAATTACAGAATTTCCAATAAATAGTATAATTTATACATTATTTTGATCACTGATGTCATAGTAGCTGTAAAAGACAATAAGTTTTCTTATTTTTGCAAATAAATGTTTGAAGTAAAAGACAAAAATGAGTGAATCTAAGGAAATTACTGAAGTGGATTCCTTAGATTTGACTTCTTGGTTTGTGTGTTATAAAATCATCAGGATCATTTCATGTCAACAACCAAACGCAAGGAATTACATTTTTGTTTGTTTGTTTTAATATTAAATGATGCTGTTTAAAAATGTTACCTTCTTACTGTGGACAGTTTCAGGCGCTTGAATTAAAATCTCGAGGTTTTTAGTTCAGGTTTTAAACCCACTGTGGGAGGGCACCACTTGTGGCCACAAGTGGCGTCATCTAAAGCCACTTTTTTATATATCGAGATATAAAATGAGACTGATGGGTTAATTTGGGAGGCAATGATTGAGTTTCTCAGATGTTTTCATAAGAAAGGCCCAGAGTGTTGTGTACGGATAATCTGAGAGTCGTTGACACCCGGACGGATGTGGTGGTGATGGGGAGGAGAGTTAGTACAGTAGATTTCAAAGGCAGAATTATCTGATAATGTGGTGACATCAGTATTATAAATATTGGTTGACAATGTGGGGAAGTGATGGTTAAAATAACAAAAATACTCGGCCAGAATAAAGAGATAATCTGAGGGAGCAGAACTTCCTCCTCCAAACTTCATCTCAAGATCTCTTTTCTGTGAATCATCTCTAAGCTTAGGTGATAGTTGGCAGTAACTCTTGTAACTCTTGACCACTGAACAGTGTCAGCATCCTATAATACTGTCAGGATATGTTGCTGATGTCTTGACTGTTTTGTTGCTGTTTGCATCGTAAGGAAATTTAGGAATAAATGCGTTTTTCTCTGTTTTTAAATGGAAAGTTGGTGCTTTTATTTTGCCCACACCCACAAAGACAAGTTTAAAAGAAAAACATTTCCCTAAAAACTGAATTAGCACAAGAAAGTAAAGGTAAACTTTTATTTAAAAAAATCTCTCCTGTTGAATTAATTGTAATTAAGTCTTTTAGTGTCTCGTGGTAGTTTTAGTGAAATGTATTTGTTTAGCTGCAGGTCTTATGATTAGGATGTGATTCTAACATAAAGTGAAGTGAAAACCTCCAGTACACTCAAACTGGCTGTGAGAGAGCTGCAAACAGCCTGAAGCAGAAACCTAAACAGTCTAAAATCCAGTGTTGCAGCGCCCCCTGCTGGTGCCTTCTGTCCCCTGACGCCTGGTTTGATCCTCGGTTTCTTCAGGTTCTGCCAACATCAACGACCGGAGCATGCTGGGAAAGCGGGACAGCGAGGTGGCGGTGATCGTGGAGGACTCGGAGATGGTGGACTCGGTGATGGACGGAGAGCCGTACAAGGCGGGAAAATACGCCCTGCAGCTCCGGCTCGAGTGCTTCAAGTACTGAAAAATGTGCAATTACACATTAGAAAGGCTTATTTGACAGAAACACTGATTATTTTAATGATGATGATAACTGGAAACGTACATTCTCAAATCAGCTGTCCAACGCTAACGTGGTGAAAGAATGGGAGGTTCAGTCTCAGCCTGAAGGAGCGTGTTTGAGGCAAAACCCCTCTTTCAGATTCATTTAATATTAGTGCATTACTGCTCTCCCAACCTCCTTGTTTTCTGACATGGATTCTGCTCTTCACCACCTCTCACTGGGTGCAGATTTCAAACTTCTCAGACTTTCAAACAGTCTCAGACTGCACACCTCTGCCAGTTTGGAAATTTCCCTTCACATCACGCACGACTTGAGTTTCTGCATCCATACTGACATCTAGATCCTGATTAGTTAGTTACATTGTTGTCTTTCAAAAAGAAAAAAGAGAACAGATAAAAAGAGGTGTGATAGTGCAAACATCCACACAGTCACTGCTTCTTAATATGTGGTTCAATCCATGAAATTAAACAATCCAGATGTGACTGAAGTGCAGCCTTTAAGCTTTAAGTTATGCTATATTGTATCCATTTTTATACATAGTCCTTATTTGCCTTTTAAATTCTTTTCAAGTTTGTCTCGAAGTAAATGTGTAAATTTTGTATGACTATTATATTCATTTTCTACCCTTTAAGTCTCTCGGTTGTTTAATGTTATGATGAAATGTAAAGATTTTAAAGCAGGTTGTTGCTCTGTTTTTACTTATTATATTGTTCAGTATATCTTTGTGTGTCTCACCCTCCTCCTGTGTCCATCAGGACGATCCTCGGCACTTACACAGATCCCACCATCGATGTTTCGGATCCAATCAGCGATCACTTCTACAAGGAGGTCTGGATGTCCACCAGCGCTCGCAACGCCTCCATCTACCAGCGAGTGAGTGTACTCCTTTGTATTCAGCTCAACTTTTTCTTTCTTTTTCTAAAATATATTTTTTACATGAGTTTTCTATTATTTAATGAACGATTTAGTCAATATTAAAACTACAAGCATATCAGCTGAAGGTAAAGCTGAACTTTTCCACTTGCTGTCACACAGTCATGGAGGAATACTATAACTACATAATCAGTCATAGATCCTGAATAATGACATGAAAAAATTGCTCCAAGCTCCTGCTTCTCTCCTGCTCCTCCAGGTTTTCCGCTGTCTGCCATCCAGCGACGTCCGTAACATAATGGAGTTGGAGGGCTACCTGGCCAAGGCCGGCCTGGACAAGGAGGACCCGGCTCGGGCTCAGGAGGAGCTGAAGAAGATCCGTGGCTTCCTCGTTCAGTTTCCTCTTCAGTTCCTGTCTGAACAAAACCTGCTTCCACCCATCGGCTCCAAGGAGGCTATGGTGCCCATGGAGGTCTGGACCTGAGGCAGACGGGGCACGTCTGTGTTCGTTGAGTGGAAGGTGGATAGAAAACACTCTGACGCCATTCTGGAGGTCTGACGGGGCTCTGACCAAAAACAGATGAGGTCATGCTGGAGCTTTTTAAATGTTATGATCTCTGTTTCACATCATAGATTATAGCTCATGATTGCATGTTAAGAAGACAGCATCTCCCTGAGTTGAGACTCTCCACAAACACACAGACCGATGTCAAAAATGCTGACATGTTCACAGAGAGCAGAGACTGGAAAAATGAAGTAATCATAGATAAAATCATACATGAAGTTTAAAGGATAAATAAATGTATTGACAACAGGCAATTTATGTGATTTAAATAGATTACCTGGCAGCCTCAACAGGCGTGCCACAGGAAAACAGGTGTGGTCAAAACCGTTTAAAATGGTTGTGTCACACAAGGAAATCACAGAAATCGGAGATTATTTAGAAACACCTACTAATTACTGTGATGAGCTTTAAGCTGCAGCTTTAGAGGAATGTCTGCCCTTAAGGCAGAAATATTTCTGGATACTCATGTCAATAAAGCAGGAACTAAAATGCGGTCAGTTCCCCAAATTTTGTCCAAGCAGGCTTTTGTGTGTTTGTTCAAACCCACATTTGTTTGAGTTACACTAATCTGAAAAAGCTCTAATAAGCTCCAGTTTCTAAACGAATATACGAGACCACACCTGACTATACATCAAGCAGCCACAACATTAAACCTTCTGACAGGTGAATCACATCTTGTGAAAAAACAGTGCTTTGCTGAGAAGCTTTGAGTCCTGGCATCCCATCAAAAGATAGTTGCAGACTAAATGCATACACCCTTTTATGTTACCAACACTCCCTGACAGCAGCGGTCTCGTCCCAGCATGATGAAACATGACGCAAAACCTTCCCGGGAACACGATCTCCACCTAGAGGCCAAAACTTCTAATCTTCACTAAAATCTGGTCGACCATCAGCAGGATGAGCCAGAGCAGGCAGAGCAATCAATGCAGCCCACATTATTAAAGGACAGTCATTAGGGTCGGGCATGGACCTCAAGTCCTGGGCAGTTTTTGCTTTGTGGGGGAGACCACTGCTGTTGCAACGGGTGGTAGCATGTAGATGTGCATGAGCTTGGTCTGCAGAAATCGTGATACATACCAGGGCCCTGGGGCAGAATCTTTAATTGCATCAAAATTACAAATGTTATTCATTTAAACTGCCAGGACTTCTGTTCTCACAGCCTGGGGTGACCACATCATGACTGTCCCCACTTTGTGACATCATACAGAGCCAATAGTGGAAACATTTTTATAAACAGAGGGTTTGGAGCAGTGTGAGTTTTGGGCTCAGCCATGTTTAACATGACTATCCACCATCTGATTTATGACAGAAGGTGGACAGACCTAAATGTTGTGGCTCTTTGGTGTGTGTTACTTTCTGTGTTTAGTAGCTCCAAAAACCAGAATTGACTCTTTGTTACAGACATACAGCAGTTTTGATTACAGCCTTGTAAACGTCACCTCCAGCATGGCGTCAGCTGTGATGTAACATCTATGAACCTAACCTTACAATGTTCAAAGACTGAGAGAGACTCCACAGCTTCCCAGAGCTCATATGTGCACACAGGTTGCTTCTGAACAGAAGCAACAGACATGGGCGTACAAACCAGCAACAGAGGGAGCGATGGACTCTACAGTGCCTGAAAATCTAGGCCTCGTGTTTACAGGAAAAAATGAAATTCCCCTGTCACCGTGAAGCTATTACTCTACCTTTTTTGTTTGTTTTTTAAGTACAGCTTGAGCCTCCGTTCTCTAACAACACTATGCAACGTCCAGCTCTGACTCTTCTGCTTTCAAAAGACACTAAATCGTTAAATCCAGCAGAGCAGAGGCGGGGATGAAGAGCCGGATCGAGCTGTCGGGCGTCTCTGCACATGTTTTCCTTTTAAACTTGTCTCATGTGGCTGCTTTTAATATTTATGTCAAACAGGAAATCAAACGTGCCAAAGATGACGGACTGTACGCTGATGTTAACACACATTCCTCATACTGTGGATTCTGCATGACTTAAGCCTCAAGTGACCTACGTTTATACCAGCTGTACTGATATAGCTCTATGTTGCTGGTTTCTAATTTCCTAATAATAATTTTCTGGAAACCACTACTGTAACTTGGTGATTGGGGGATTTAAATAATAATAAATATTAATTTATTACTTGTGTGTAATTGGGAACATTTTTCTAGATGTAATAAATTATTTTCATTGGTTGACTTTTAGAAAGACTCCAGTTATTGAGATCAATTCATACAACGTGTCACTATTTCCAGGAAACTATTAGGAAATTATAGACTTGTATAAAGCTATTTTATTTTGGAGAAGCATGCATGAAGAGTTTATTAAATTGCTGCATTTCCTTTTGTGTCAGAAAGCGGAAATTTCCCACAATGGCTAACTTTGCATTAACAGGTAATACTGGTTTGTTACTGGTATAATGGATGTTTTATGTCCACCAGGGGGCGGTAGAACAACATGTTACCACTTTAGTAAGTTGTTGTGATGACTGTGTCTGCAAACTGTTGCCAGTTTAGACAAGCAGCAGGAATAAAGACGCGTGATTGTCCATTACTGAGTTCACCTGCTGAATATCCATCAAATCTAATTCGGAAAGTTATGATGCCAAAGTCTGTCACTGTTCCAGATGGTGATTCCCAATGTTTGGTTGACTGAACGACTGAACAGCGGTGCTTGGATAGATCTCCCCTTGGTGAACTTGTGTGTGTGCAGCGTTGCTACCATGAGACACTGCAGTCACATGTTTTTGCTACCATGAAGTCAATCAAAGCTCTCTTATCTTAGATCAGGACGTCTGCCTGTGATACTTGTGATACTATTTGCATTCTGCCTTTTAGTCATTTTAAATTATCCGGTGTTAACAGTCATGGGGGATCTAAAAGAGTAGCTTCTGTCACATTTTCACAATCCTGAATCAACTATTCACCCCAAAAGTCAAACTTTCACTCTTTCAGCTGCATATTTGGTCTCCACCTACTCTAAGAATTGCCTCTTACAGTTCAGCTGCTACATGTAACACTATACTGATCGGCTACTTGGATAGTCTGTGTAGAGTTGAGGAGAATCCAACAAACAAAAGCCTTCAATGCTTGTGGCGTTCCTTTGAAATTGGATTAAGTGTTGGTCCTATTTGGAACAGAACTGCACTTTGGTGTAAAGTGCGACGAAGTCAGACCACAAGACTTTCATGATTTCATATTGACTTTGTGGACTTTGACTGATTTATGTCAAAATAGACAATTTCAGTTTTAACCTTTTTATTGCTCAAATCAGCCCTAACTTCTGGTAATTAAAAGAGGACTTTTGTGGATGCAAACATGGCTTCACCTTGTGGAAAATGTGTCTTTAAGTGCGTTATCAAGAAGATATTACACCAGCTTTGTCTTTGTACTTTGTTTCTGCTCCCCTCAAGTTGCCAAAAGATATTATTGCAGGTTTGGAATATTTACAGTTAAATACCTTCTGATTAACCAGATGCATGAAGCCTCATGCATCAGAATCTTCTGATCTTCTAACACATCTGGAACGCAGCATCACTATTCGTGTCTTCCTCGTTGGTCTGTTCCTCTGCATGATGCTGTTTTGTGCTGTAAATTTGAAATGTAAGGATCTTTACTGACTGCAGCTGACAGCATGACAGCAGCTCGTTGCCATTAAACCGTCACGGACAAACGTGTGAACTTTATAAGCTGAACAGTTTTCTTTAAAGCCATTGTTGAAGCTAATCGGTGTGTCTGTCTGTAAGATAGACCTGATACTTTAATGTTGTTGGAAATTGGGCCTTAAGTGTGCTCTTTCTGTTTAGTCTTCCTCTCTACCTCCCTGTGTTTCTACCTCCTGGTCCAGCGCTTTCTCAGCTCCTCACCTTTTCAGCTTTTGTGATATCAGATTAAATCTAAATCAGAAGCTTAAAATATAAAAGGCTGAGCTCAAATCAATCAACTTAAACACAGAAATATATCTGAAATCTGACTGTTTGCTCGTGTTCTTTGAATCTCAGCTTTTCTCTCGTCTGCCTTTGTTTTTGCTGTATCTCTATAAAAATGCACTTTTTGCACAGTTTCTTTGTGGCAGCCCCTTAAAGTGATCTGCACATCATGTGTTGCTTTTTGAAATGATGGATTAAATAAATGAGGTGTTAACAAGTCATTGAAAAGCATCTGATCGTGTTGTTCAGTGATTCCTTAGTTCAGTTCAACTCAGACTTATACTGAGACGCTCAGTAGCATCTTCTTTAGAGTTTTCTGTCAATCTACACAGAGGCACAAGCACTCACTGTGCTGGATCTATATGGGCTGTTCAGCACCTACGATGTTAAATATTAAAATGTTTTCATTATCAAAGTCTAATTCTTTAGGATTTAAACCCTTGTATGGAAATACATATTTTTTCATGATATCACAATTGTTCTTTTTTGTTGAATGAAATTCAAAATTTATTTTTATTCATAAAAGATTAACATTTTTTTCCTGTAATTAAAATGGAAAGTTTAAAGTTTGTGAAATAGGAACGTCCAGCTAAGAATCCACTGTAGAAAAATACATTTTAAATAAATTTTAAAAACACATTTTATTTATTAATAACATTGTATACATTTTTAAATTCTCAGCATCTATTTCTCAAAGTTATAAAATGCATAAATGTCTTTAAAACTGACAAAAATGCTAAATTCATAACATGAAATGCTGAAATTAATGTGATTAATGTGAGTAGTTTTATGGCTTCATTTATTGGTAAATGTTTGGAAACTTGTTTAAATATTAATCATTTCATTCTGTTTCCCTGCCTTTCTTTTGTCACATGATGGAAGTGTTACTTAAAAAAAATAAATCCTTTCTTTCAAACCAGGGGTCTGAAACTCCAGCTAGACGCCGGTTAGCTTAGCATTGCACAAAATTTGAAAGCACCAGGAAAACACACAAGTTCAGTTCAGTACAGGTTTATTTATGCAGCACTAAATCACAACAGGACTTTCTACTGAAAGGTAATTTATCCTAAAGAAAATCACCCCTACTTGTGGCTCGTGTATGTGAAGGAATACAATGCAATCTGGCCCTTGAAGCTGCTTTTTTTGTTAGGGGGATTTGTTTGTTGTTCTTCTTTAAAAAGCAAAAAATGATTTAATATGAAGGCAAAATACAAGTTTACATTTGCAGTTTAAAATGAAAGAAACGGCAAAAAGAAAAAAAACAAACACTACATTTTTGGATTTCTGGATGTTTTCTTATTTATTTGTACTACTTTAGCACTAAAGTGGCCGGCAGGGACCCACAGCTCATTTAAGATTGAGTCCCTGTTACAAACCAATGCTTTAGTTTCTTTTTACTCAAATCTACTGTGACACACACCAGTTTAAATGTTTTTATTTACATGACTACTTTTTTAAAAATCTCCCGTCAAATGGAACAAAACTGTGATGCGCAATACAAACATCAGTTGAACTGAATCCACAACAAGAACAAACAAACTCTATGAAAGAAAAACGGCATATCAGTGAAATCGAGTGGAAACGTTCAGATGGCTACAATTTAAATTCCATAAGAAGCCCATAAACACTGTCACTCCTCTGTGACGCTGGGCTGATCATTGTCAAAAAACTCAGATGTGGATTACTCCAGATGTGAAAGTGAGCACTGACAAATTCTCCCTGTTTGATAAAACTCACAGCAATCACCTGAAGTATTAAAGAAATCTTCTTATGGAATTTGTTGACATGAAATGAAAAACACATCAAACATCCAACACTGCCTTATAAGGAAAGATGATGGAAATCAATCTGTTGGTAGGAAACCGTGACCCTGGTATCAAAGACTATCCACCATAAAGAGACACCTGCAGTACTTCACAGGTTTTTACATATTTTATGGAAATAAACCACAGAGGCTTTAAATAACTACAGGTCATCTGCATGTTGGTCCAGTTCTATCTTTGCATTCACAGTGTTAAATAAACCTTTAAGGCCCAATTCTTGGATGTGTTTCAAATGCACGTTTGACACTTGAGAATACAGATGTAGAAAAATACAATCTACACAATCAAAACTGAACAGCATCACCTCTGTTTTTGTTGGCATTTACGTCTTTTTCTAGTTACCTTTTACAGCAACTGTAACGGCAGTCTCGCTTTTCATACCCCGCTGAGTTTGGCAGGAGATTTACAAGAATCGATCGAGCTTCTCAAGGATTTCATTCCTCATCTTAGGCATGACCTGTGAAATATATTTCCATTATGCATATATGATTAAAAAGACAACATGGTTTAATGTGATCAGGAGGAAGTAAACTTACGTGTCTTTTCAAAGGTTCAGGTTGGACTCTATAAATTGGGGGGGAAACATCTACTGTTTGTCCTCACACACGGAGTTCTGTAAAAAGAAGAAGTCATGCATTTATAAACAGTGCACTGAAACGGTTACACAACCCAGTTTGTCAATATGACGTTCCAGCTAGAAGCCGGTTAGCTTAGCATTGCACAAAATCTGAAAACAACAGGGAAACACGTGAACTAAGCAAACAATGAAGAAAGTTCAGTTCAGTACAGGTTTATTTATACAGCGCTAAATCACAACAAGACTTTCTACTGAAAGGTAATTTATCCTAAAGAAAATCACAGCAAGCACTTGGCGACAGCGGGGAAGGAAAAACTGCCTTTTAACAGGAAGAACCCTCCAATGGAACCAGGCTCAGGGAGGAACAGCCATCAGTACTGAGTTGTTGTATTAGTTAAGAGTGGTTGAGATTTGTATTTATATCTCTTTCTTTGTATTATGTTTTAGTCTCCCCACAGAGTCACACTGAATCTTGTCCTCAAGTCCTTTTTAGGTCACGTCCTATTTTACTTTGACTTTGTGCCTGTTTGATCCTGGTGTTTGCTGGAGTTTGGTTGTTGTTTTGCTTCATGAACTTTGTACACTTGGAGTTACCTCTAATTTTAGACCAGCTAGCATTTTCTTAATAAAGGTATCAGAAAGCAAGACAAAGACAGGGAATTAATGCTTACTTCACAATTTCACTCTCCAAATTAGATCCGATCAGCTCCTGGTTGCAGTTGTGTTTCATCAGCAGAAACTTGGCTGTGGGAAACTTTGGTGCGTCCATCTGTAGCTCATCACTGAAAGACAGATTCACTCAGTCACTTTGGCTAAAAGAGAAAAATGTTGCCTGGCTGCAGTAAAAGTACAGAAGCTCAATAAAGTCAGAGTCATTCGAGGGTTGAGGATTTAGCAGCTGCCCTCGGAGTGTGCTGAACTGAAACAAGTTTGTGTTTTATTACTTAGAAGTTATAAGCTATATTTAACAGTTTGCACCATGTTACTTCTTTGGGACATTTTCTACATACAGCTGGCATCAATCTATAGTCAGTTGCAGATAGTTTCAAATAGAAAGTCAAGAATATCGTGCACGGGCACTGTGACCACCAGCTCTTAATCATCCTTTACATTTAGTGCATTTATTCTCAAGACTGGTTGGTATTAAGTGATTTTACACATGTACGGATCCACGTTCGGAACAGCCAGCTTCTCGTGTCACTGTAACAGCTGAATGTTAAATGTTGTCTCACTCTGTATGTTTGTGGTAATAACTGAAGCACCGACTGATGGGACGCTTTGTGAATGTGGACCAGCTGGTCGCTCCAGTCTCTGCTATGTGCTTCTCTGCGATGTTTCCATCCTGGTATCCTTCACGGGGCGCCATTTTGACTGGTTCAAAGCACCTGAATGAGATCAGGAAGATAAACAACTGAGCAAAACTGTTCACTGTTAGAGGAAGTAGGCAGATGGTTTAGTCTGTAAGAATGTGGAACCACTTCAAACATTCATTACATCTTATGAGCTCCACGAATAATTATAGTTACAGCATAGCATCTAAGTATTTCTGAGATAAAGCTGCGTCCGTCGCATAGAAAGATACAACCATTCATGCTCATCCATGTAGTTATTCATTTAAAAAAAAATACATTTTGTTGGTTTATTAATAATATTTTTTATATGCATGCCCTTTCATTATTATTTAGAATCACCAATTAACCTAACCCCACTAAATGCATGTTTTTGGACACATGGGGAGAACATGCCATCTCCACACAGGAGGACCCAGCCAGTGGAGTCACACTCAGGACATTCCTGCTGTGAGACAACAGTGCTAACCACCACAGCACCGTGCTGCCTGCTGAAACAACAACTGTATTTTTTAGCTTCTTTTTTCTTCTTCTATTTTATGCATTTAACA